ACATTTTGTTGGTCTTAAAAGTGCCACTGGACTTAGACTTTGTTCTATTGTATAAATGGGGCTTATTTCAGGTGAATGTGAACAACCCCGAAGGTCTGTCTTTCCCTGCAACAGACTAGGAGCAATTTCTGTCCACGTCTCTTCTCTCTCTCTCGCCCCGAAAACAAAGCCGGGCAGGAATATAAGGAGGACGGGTGTGGTGAAAGGGGCTTGCTGGGAAATGCAGTCCCTACTCTCTTTAGGGTCACCATCTCCGGGCCGAACAAAACCTACATTGCCCACGGTGCCAGTAGGGTGGCAGAAAAAGAGAGACGTAATTAGCTGGGGGAAGGCAGGGGGGGCTAAAATGGAGATATCAGTCCTGGATTAAATAGGCTTTGTTTTTCTCTGCCCCGAACCCAGGTGGGAACATGGAAGGAGCCAACAGAGAGGAAAAGATAAGGGAACTAAAAAAGGGGGACGGGACAGAGGCGCGGTGCGGCGCGTATTAGGACGCTGCAAAATCCTCTAGGACTTCAAAATACTTTGCAATCCCTCCCCCTTAAATTAAACACTTTTCAACTGGAAAAAAGATAGGGGGATGCTTTCTCCCTCTCCTGCTAAGACATGAGAGGCCATGGAGTTGCTGGCTCCAGCCTGCCGGATCGGGGCCGCGTGCACTAATGTAGCTGCGTCCGAATTTTCCCTCCTCGAGGAAGCCCATACCTTGCGATTGTTACGTGGTCCCTGCGGCAGCCGAGCAGGTTCCCGTTGGAAAAACGACGACGATAGGCCAGACTGAGCGAATAAACAGCGAGATTAGACTGTGAGACTCTTACTATGATAGAGGCGCGCGCCACGGGCTTCCCCCCCCCACCCGAGCATGCTCACTAGCAGTCACCGAAGGTTTGGATTTGCCCTTACTCTGCCCACATCATCTCCTCCCCCTCAAAAAGATGTTGCTGAACCCCACCCACCCCCAAACAAGGTTTTGCTTTGCCAACAGGCCTGGTTAAAACTCTCCTCCCCCTTTAACAGCGATATGGGGAGCTGAGGCTTTTCATGGCATGGAAGTAAATAACATCAACTGGTTGTAGCGTTGCTAGCCTTGGGGAGCGGGGCGGTGGAGGTCTCCTGGAAAACTGCTCTCCAGGCTAGAGAGGTCAGTTTCCCTGGAGGAAATGGCCGCTTTGGCATTGTACCCCCCACTGACATCCCTCCCCTTCCCAAACTAGGCCCCTCCCCAAGCCTCATCCCCAAAGCTCCAGGAATGTTCCCAACCTGGAGTTGGGGAAAACTATGCAATAGCACCTGGGGTTTTGGTCACTGTGTGACATGGAGTGTTGGACTGGGTGGGCCATTGGCCTGATCCAGCATGCTGCTGCTTATGTTTTTATGCTGTGCTTAGAGTTGCTAGGTCCCTCCTGGCCATTGGCAGGGGATGAGGGGGTAGAGTTGCCAGATCCAGGCTGGGTAACTCCTGGAGATCTGGAAATGGAGGGACCTCAAGTTGGATTCAGTGCCACAGAGTCCACCCTCCAAAGCTTCCATTTTCTCCAGGGCAGTCGATCTCTGTAGTCTGGAGATGAACTGTAATTCCAGGGGATCCCCAGGTCCCACCTGGAGGTTGGCACCCCTAATTGATTACTAAATCCTATTAGACCTTCATTAAAGAGAAAAGACTTTTTCCCTCCAGGACAATTGCCTTCCCTAGGTTAGTCTTGACTCCACTGCCTGTCAATTTCATTAGGTGCCCCAATCTCTAGTGTTGTACAGAAAAGGAAAAAGTCACCTTCCCCCCCCCCCATAGCATGCATAATTTTATAACCCTCGCAGGTCACTCCCCTGCCTCAATTGTCTTGTTTGCTAAAGGGAAAAGCCCCAAACTCTTCAACCTATCCCGGTAGGGGAGTGTTCTCCCATATTGATAGTATTAGCCCTATTCACAAGTTATAGTGAATGCATGTACAATCCATGTAAAATGTACGCTCGGTTTTTCTTAATACATGTGCAGATTCGCAGGGGTCACTTTGTAGAAAAAGAGGTGCAGGAGCTCATTAGCATAACTCATTAGCATAACTTATTTGCATATGCCACACCCCCTGACATCACCGGAAGTGTGTCAGAAGGCAACACCCACTGCTCAGGCTCCACGGGACTGTTTTGGATTGCTAGCTATGGGGGGGGGAGAGAAACGTGCAGATCTGTCCTCGCAGAGGAGGGAGAGCTTGTACCTGAATAGAACTTGGTCTTAAAGGTGCAACTGGACTGTTTTGGGCCGGGAGCCGGGGCTCTGCATCTTACCTGGCTGCTTCTTGCTCTGACTGAGGGCTGCTGGGAGCAGGGGGTGGGGCTTGTTGCATGTGCCCGCCCCCTGGGCTCTTTACTGCCGGAGCTCCGCTCCTGTGCGCTCCTGCAGGAAATGACCCCTGCAGATTTGTATGTTACATTCAACAGACATTCAGTTGAACATGATTCAGACCATGGCATACTATCCTAAGTTGTGGGCTGCATTTGTATTCATAGAATCATAGAAGTTGGAAGGGGCCACACAGACCATCTAGTGAGTCCAACCCCCTGCCCAATGCAGGACCAGCCTAAAGCATCTCTGACAAATATTCGTCCAGCCTGTTCTTGAAAGCTGTCAGTGAAGGGGAGCTCACCACCGCTCTAGCTCTTGTCTTAGTGATTCAAAGGCTGCTACAGACCTATTGTTCTAAAAACCAAAATCTCTGCCCTGACCCGGATAGCCCAGGCAAGCCCGATCTTGTCAGATTCTTGGAAGCTATGCAGCGTCAACTCTGGCAAGTACTTGGATGAGAGACCTCCTTGGAATACGACCGGGGGGGGGGGGGCTCTCAGTATCCTCCCAGCTCCCAGTAGGAGTCAGTCACTACAGGTTGCCATGACTTCCATATCTCCCCATAACCATAAAAGGCAAAATCTCTTTTTTCTCCAGATGCGCTTCCTTCCTCACATCATGAGCGATGGTTTATCTCAGGAATAGATGACCTCATCATCTCCCTCGCGGGGAGGGCAGAGTAAAAATGCTTAAAATAAAATAAATTTAAAAATCATGAGACAAATGTAAACATAGGAAAACAGTGTGAAGCAGTGGCTAGCCATCCTGGAACAAGACTGAGGGGACTCAGGTTTGAATCCCCACTGGGCCAAAGGCCTCACTGGGTGACTTGTGGGTGAGTCACTCCCTCAGCCTCACCTACCTCGCAGGACTGTTGTGATGAGAAAATGTAGGGGCAGGGATAAAACAGAAGGGCGGGGACAAGAACTAAGTATGTCACCCTGAGCTCCTGGGGGGGGGGGGGCAATGGGATAAAAAATGTGATAGGTATGTTTCTCTGTGTGTTCCCCCCCCCTTCTTCTTCCTGAATTCTTTTAAACCTTTTTAAAGTACAGCATCCAAGAACAGCTTGTTCCCCACTGTTAAAAAAAAAAAAAAAGGATAAAGATTTTTGACTGTTGGAGCTGAAATAATATTTATTGGTTTATTTGTTCTACTGGTCTTCCGGAGTGCCCCTTGTGGCCTCTCTGCTCCCAGGGGACAAATCAGGTCCACATCTATTTATCCCTCATCTGCGGAAGGAAGCTTGGATCCTTGAAAGCTTCTACCCTGAAAATCTTGTTGGTCTCTACGGTGCGACTGGACTCGAATGTAGCTCTTCTACTGGAGACCAACATGAAACTATCTATACAATGTCTGAAACTATCTATACAATGTCAGCAGTGCCATGGCATGAGGTGTTCCCAGACCATTTGCTAGGTCCCCATTTGCAGAGTTGGATTTATACCCTGCCCCTCACTCAGAGTGGCTTACAATACCCTCCTCTCCCCACAACAGACACCCTATGAAGTAGGTGGGGCTGAGAGAGCTCTGAGAGAACTGCTCTTGAGAAAACAGCTCTGAGAGCATTGTGACTGACCCAAGGTCACCCAGCTGGCTGCATGTGGAGAAGTGACCCAAGGTCACACCCAGTTCTTAACCACTACACCAAAGTGGCTCTACACCAAACTGAATGGGGTGTAGTGGTTAGGAGCACGGACTCTAATCTGGGAGAACCAGGCTTGATTCCTCACTCCTCCACATGCAGCTGCTGGTGTAACCTTGGGTCAGTCACAAGTTCTTTCAGAGCTGTTCTCTCACGAGAAGTCCTTGAAAGAGCTCTCTCAGCCCCACCTACCTCACAGGCAGTGTTCCCTCTAAGCCGAGTTAGTGTGAGCTAGCTCACAGTTTTTTAGCTTCTGGCTCACACATTTTTGTCTTAGCTCAGGAAAGATAGTTCCAGAGCAAAGTAATTTATGCAGTAGCCAAATTGCTCACTCACAACTTTAATGCCAGTAGCTCACAAATTAGAATTTTTGCTCACAAGACTCCATAGTTTAGAGGGAGCATTGCTCACAGGGTGTCTATTGTGGGGAGGGAAAGGAAAAGGAGATTGTAAGTCACTCTGAGACACCTTCGGGTAGTGAAGGGCAGGGTATAAATCCAATTTCCTTCTCCTCCTCCTCTTCATGGTCTCTTCATACTGTGGGTTCTCTCGTGGATAAGAAGCTGTGTTTTCTGAATGAAGCTTCTGCTGCAGTTCGCACACTCATAAGGTTTCTCTCCGGTGTGTGTTTTGTAATGGTTAAGAAGGTGCGACCGTCGGCTCAAACTTTTCCCGCAGACACCACACTGGTATGGCTTTACTCCCGTGTGGACTCTGCGATAGCTGAGGAGGTTCGACCTCACGCTGAAGCTTCTGCCGCAGACAGAACACTTGTACGGCTTCTCGCCTGTGTGACTCCTCTCATGTTTCTCACAGCCCGATTTGTCGATGAAGCTTTTCCCGCACATCGCGCAAGCGTACGGCTTGTCTCCCGTGTGGTTCCTCTCATGTCTAATGAGGCGGTAGCTCTCCCGGAAGCCTTTCCCACAGACAGAGCATTCGTACGGCTTCTCCTCCACGTGCGTCCTCTCATGCTTGGCCAGCTGTGAGCTGTCACTGAACGTTTTCTTGCACTCGGAACACTGGTACGGCTTCTCTCCCGTATGGGTCCTTTTGTGCTTGGTGAGGTCTGAGGTGTCACTGAAGTCCTTCCCACAGGTCGGGCATTTATACGGTTTCTCTCCCGTGTGGGATCTCCTGTGCTTGCAAAGAGCCGAGCTGTTAGTGAAGCCCCTGCCGCAATAGGAGCATAGGTACGGTTTTTGCCCCGTATGGATTCTCTCATGCACAATAAGGTCGGAATTGGCAATGAAACTTTTCCCACACGTCGAACACGAAAACGGTTTCTCTCCTGTATGGATCCTTTCGTGTTTCGGGAGTTGAGACAGCCGCTTGAAGGCTTTCTCACACCATGAACATTTATATAATTTCTCTCCCATGAGGGTCGTCACATACTTTGTAACATGCGGCCTCCGCTGGCTTTTCCCACAGTGAGGGCCTTTGTCCCCTCTCCCCCCCCCGTGTGTTTCTTCACGTGCCGGGAGAGGACTGAACTCTGGTTGAAGCTCTTCCCACACTCCGTACACTTATACGGCTTCTCTCCCGTATGGGTTCTCTCGTGGATGGCAAGATGCGACGCCTGAGCAAAGCTTTTCGCACAGGTTGAGCAGCTGTACAGTTTCTCTCCTGTGTGTGTTCTCTCATGCCTCGTGAGGTGGGATCTCCAGAGAAAGCTTTTCCCACAGTGAGAGCACTGATATGTTTTCTTCTCTTCGGCAAGGTGGCTGTGCTCGGGTTCTGTGGGGATAAGCGGGAAATCCCGTGAAACAGGCTTTGTTTGTGAGGAAAGTAAACATTAAAACAAGAAAACACAGAAAAACGAGAAACCTATGGCCAAAGAATTAGCTGAAGTCCCTCCTGAACAATACATAGGTCCAGGGCTCTTTTTGAAGAAAAAGCCCAGCAGAAACTCATTAGCATAATAGGCCACAACCAACAGCAGAAATGCATTAGCATATTAGGCCACACCCCTGACAGCACAGCTCATTAGCACATTAGGCCACACCCCCATGTTACCAGAAGTGTGCTCATCCAGCCACACCCACCTTTTGCTTGTTATTCTGTTTACCCTGTTTGTTGTCAAAACCCAGGGCTTTTTTTGTAGCAGGAGCTCCTTTGCATGTTAGGCCACACACCCCTAATGTAGCCAATCCTAATGAGTTTCTGCTGTTGGGGGTGGCCTATTATGCTAATGAGTTCCTGCTGGGCGTGGCCAACTTGGGAGCCAGCCGGAACTCCGTTCCTGTGCGTTCCTGCCCAAAAATAGCCCTGCATAGGTCCATTCTGCATCTGGGATTTGCATCCACATTTTATCAGCACTCGACCTGGTCCCCCCTTGCCTCGGAATAACTGTTTTCATTCAATCTGGTATGCAGATTTTCCTGTGCCAGTACTTGCCTCAGCAGTCATTAGCTGCCTGAGCCAAGTAATTCGTGACAAGGTGAGGTGATAAATACAGAGGGGGAAATAGGGGTGGGGAAACTGATGGAGATCAATGAAGCCGTGTCAAGTTGTCTGCTTATTGTTCCGTTGGAATCGGATGCGGAGGAAGGAAAAGGTGCGGCTCAAAACCACATTCAGATACTCCCGGGACAACGCCGTACTGACTGCTAAGTCACCCCTGAACGGCCATGAATCTATGCAGAAGGTACCGTAAAACCTGATGAACAAAGAGAGTGAAAGTGGCATGCATTGTAGAGGGGAAATTAACCTTCCGACGTGGCTGTGGAAAAACGGTGGGGGGGGGGGAACAGATGGGTGCAGAATCAGCTATAGTCTGTTGCGATTGCAAGCAGTGCGATGTCACTTCAAAGCCCTTTCTTACTTCCAACAGACTTTCTCCTCCACCCATTTCCTCATGCCTATTTTTCCTATCCGGTCCTTAGGTTCCGGTGTCTCAGCTGATTGTCTGTGCTGCACCCTTCCATCATTTATCTTGTCCCTGATGTTCTTTTAGACTGTGGCCAGCAGATGGAGATGCTGATCTCTTCTGTGGCACATAGCACCATAACCAGAATTATTATCCCCCCCTATTACAGATGGAAGGAGGCAGAGACAGGGTGGCTTGCTTTGGACCACCTGGTCAGTTTGGGGCAGCTGCAAGATTTGAGCCAGTACCCTCCCAGATCCCAGTTTGTTCTCTGCGGCGCCTTCTAAGCTTTAGTGGATGTGGAAAGGTGCAACTATGCTATTACAGTTCCGCAGGGCCTGCAAAACAGAGTTGTTCCATCAGGCCTTCGGCTGAGGCAGCAAGAGTCCGGTTATATCGGCCTTCCCTGCTCCATCCCATCCCCTTCATTCCATATTACTGGTGCCCTGCGCCTACTCCTCAAACACCTGGTGTCTCCTGGGAACGTCTGGAAATTTGTTTTGCCATCTTGTGGTTATGTTATTGGGGATTTAACTGTATTATTCTTTAACTGTTTTTAAATGTTTTTACTCCGTTGAATCTTGTGAACCACCCTGAGCCCGCTTGTGGGGGACGGCAGGATAGAAATGTATTAAAATAAATAAATGACGCTACCCTAGCCAGTGCAGACGACTCCTTCAGAAGAATGACTCTTTCTCAGCCCCCAATCTGACACTCTGTGTATCACACCACACTGGAGAATGTGTGTGTGTGTGTGTTAGTGTGTGCTAGATCTACTCCAGTAACTGTGCAGGAGTCAGTAATTTAGGCCTCTGACTTACCCTTCAAGGAGGCTTCGCCATCACTGTCGTGCCCAATGGGCTCGGCTTCCACACTGCCCAACGGCAGCTGCCCAGTCTTGACCAAATTCTCTAACTCCTCCTCCTTGGCAAACGGCACCAATGCCTAGAACAGAAATATGAACAGAGTCCAGAAGCTGGTGCTGGTATATCAAGGCCGGGAGGTGGCCGCACATCCCCCATTTTTGAAGGGTTTGGTGAAGCGTTCCTGGTTTGTAGGATTATCTGACAGACCGCCGAGTCTGCACAGGTCAGCCTGGTAGGGCTCAGATATACCGGTCAGGTGGACCTCCCCCATTGGAGGCGGGAATGGACGGGAAGGTACCAAAAGCAGTGGATTAACTGACCAGTTTTATTTGTGACTCCCTGCTCAGGTAAAGTCCCTCGGAGCATGACATTTTAGAAAGCGCTTGGGCAGCAAAAGCCACAAGTATAAATGAAATACCCTCCTGCACCACCTAAGTGGTGAATAGCTCCTGACCAATGTGAGCAAAAATTGTACTTTGTGAGCTGCTGGCATTAGAGTTTTGAGTGTACAATTTGGCTACTGCATGAATTAGCTTGCTCTGGAGCCATCCTTCCTGAGCTAAGACGAAAATGTGTGAGCCGGAGGCTAAGAAACTGAGCTAGCTCACACTAACTCAGCTTAGAGGGAACACTGCTCCTGACCTAGCCAGCCAAAATCTTTCCCACATATGTGCTGTAACATGGTAAGGGTTTTCGTCGCTGCCTCAGCGATGAAGCCCCTGGTGACTCCAAGAGGCAGTCCTGGAATGTTCAGAAACATTCCATATTCTCAGGGAAGTTGCTGGCATAAGCACCTACACACACAAGTCATCAGACATCTTATGAGAAAGCTCAACAGGGAGTTCCAGTCATTCTGCATGGAAGGGACAGAGACGCGGAAGATGTCCTTGGGCCTCTTGGGATTATGACAAGAAGAAGAAGAGATTGGATTTATATCCCGCCCTTCACTACCCGAAGAAGTCTCAGAGTGGCTTACAATCTTCTTTCCCTTCTCCTCCCCACAACAGACACCCTGTGAGGTAGGTAGGGCTGAGAGAGCTCTTTCGAGAAATGCTCATGAGAGAACAGCTCCGAAAGAACTTGTAACTGACCCAAGGTCACACCAGCAGCTGCATCTGGAGGAGTGGGGAATCAAACCCGGTTCTCCCAGATTAGAGTCTGCACTCCTAACCACTACACCAACCTCACCTGTTGTTCCTGAGCCTCGGCCTCTTTGGACCTTCTCCTCAGGAAACCCTCTGCCAAGCTCACTGCCCGGGTGCAGCTCTGAGGATCACGTTCCTTCACCCAGCTTTGCATTTCCTGCGGGAGGATGATCAGGAACTGTTCCAGGATCAGCAGCTCCAGGATCTGCTCCTTGGTGTGCCTCTCAGGTTTCAGCCACTGAAGGCAGACTTCCTGGAGATGTCTGAAAGCGTGTCGAGGCCCCCTGTGCTCCTCATAGCAGAAATTCCTGAAGCGCTGCCGCCATCCTTCCAAACCGCCATCCTCTTCATCCACGGTCTCTTCTTTCAGTGTCCCAGAAGAGTCTCCCAGCCTCCCAGAGACCTGCAGAGTGTCTCCATCCAGGCCCAGCAGGGTGTGGGACTCTCCTGGTCCTCCAGGCCTCTGGCTGGCAGCAGTTGCTCCATCAGAGGAGGGCTGAAAGTCTTTCGTTTCACTCTCACCTGAGGACTCCGGCATGGGTGGATTTCTGCCTTGTAAGGGAGGAGAGGCCACTGCCTTGAGGAGTGCCTGCCACTGGCTTTCCCAGAGCTGTTGTGGCCCCTCTTCGGGTTCCTCTTTAACTTGGCGTAGGCCAGGCCCAGAGAGAAATTCCCTCACAGTCCCAACCTTCAGGACGTGAAGGTCTCTTCCTCTTCCTTCCAGCCTCTCCCCAGGAACTGATTTTGGTGTATCCGCTTCCTCCATTTTCATTCCTGAATGCACACAAGACACTGAAAGAGAAAACCAGGCCCCGGTCACACGGACCGGATATCGTGGGGGGAGGCGTGGCTAATTGCCCCGGAGGAAACTAACGCACGGCTGCCCGAGCACACGTCCCGGTCGAGGTCCCGTGGTTCGGGGGAAATGCCAATCAGATGGGTATCCTGCAGCGCGGCACAGAAGCCGCGCTGCGCGATCGCACTAGCAATTGCTCTTTGTGTGCATGCGCTGTTGGGCGCTGTTGCACAACCTGTGGAGACAAACAGCGGCGGGCGCCGGATGCCACGTAAGTCCACCAGGAATGAGATCAGACGCCTGCTCTTGGCCCACGGTTTTAGAAAACTAGTACCTCGTAGGTACTAGTTTTTAACTCTGCACTTTTGGTGGGGAGCCACAGGTTCGCCATGGGAGCACTGCGCTTCCCAGATGTTGGGGTGAGATCGCACCTGGAAAATCCGCGGGACTCCCGTGCCTCTCCCGCGGCAACTTTGCCGTATGACCGGGGTCCCAGTTCGGCTAAGTATACTTAGAGAAACTGTAGCCATGGCACACGGCAACCACAGACAGGGCCATTTCAGAGGTGGCACCGCGCCCTGGAATGTTCTCCCTACTTGAGGCTCACCTGATGTCTATTTGATGCTCCCTTAGACACCAGACCAAAACACTTCTTTTCATCCAGGTTTTTAACTAAGGGGTTCCACTGTTAACTACTTTTTGCCCTGCTTCTAGCCAATATATGTAAATATGTTTGTTTAAAAATATATGTTAACACTTGCACATTTTGTCGATGGGATTTTCCTTGGACAGAAGAAGAAGAGAGAAGGAGAGTGGATTCATACCCCGCCCTTCACTACCTGAAGGAGTCTCAGAGTGGCTTACAATCTCCTTTCCCTTCCCCACCCCACAGCAGATATCTGGTGAGATAGGTGGGGCTGCGAGAGCTATTTTGAGGACTGCTCCTGACAGAAAAGCTCTGAGAGAACTTGTGACTGACTCAAGGTCACACCAGCAGCTGCATATGGAGGAGTGGGGGATCAAACCCGGTTCTCCCAGAGTAGAGTCTGCGATCCTAACCACTACAGCAAACCGGCACTCAGTACGGATACCTCCATCTGCATTGCTTGGTCAACAGCTCAAAGCCCCCCTCCCTCCACCAAAGCATAGGAAAGCTTTAAAAATTAACTTTTGAAAGAGAGAATATGGGAGTGTCGTGGGCTTGTGCAGGAGAGACATGGGTTTCAGTCCCTGCAATGTCATAGAGGGAGACCTGGAGCCAATCTCTCTTTCTTAGCCTACCCTACCTCATAGGATTGTTGTAGGAACAGAACAGGCCCGTAACCAGGATTTTGTGGCTTGTGGGGCAATTTTTTTCTGGTGGGGCTGTCATTATTTGTCTTTATTTTTTTTGAAGTCTTACAGGATTTTGCAGCGTCCTAATTACCCCCCCCCCAAAAAAAATGCCTCTTTCCCGGTCCACCTTTTTATTTCTAATTTTTTCTCTCTGTTGGCTCCTTCCATGTTCCTATCTGGGTTTGGGGCAGAGACAAACAAACCCTATTTAATCCAGGAGGACTGATATCTCCATTCTAAACCCCCTTCCCCCGTCTAATTACTTCTCTTATTCGGCCACCCTTCTGGCACCGTGGGCAATGTAGTTTTTCTTCGGCCCGGAGATTGTGACCCTAAAGAGAATAGGGACTGCATTTCCCAGCAAGCCCCTTTCCATACACCACACCCGCCCTGTCCAGGGATAGACCAGGGATAAAAATGAGACCACCCCCCCCCCCCCATCCCTACCCCCCGCCTTCCTCCTTACCTGGCCGCAAAGCTCAGCGGTCCCTCCTCAGCGCAGCCGGAAGATGCCTTTTGGCTCCAGGCTCGTCTCCTCCGCTTTCATCAAACCCGATTCCACCCGCGCCGGTCTACATGGATTTTTCCAGGCAACGGAACCCACCTTCATTTGCAGTTTCGGTGTGTGTGTGTGTCATTTAAAGGCTTGTTTCTTGTTCCGCTTCCCATCATGTGACGGAGCAGCGGGAAAACCAACCCTCTGCATGGCTGGAGCATTTTGGGGTTGCGGGAGCCGATCCTTGGGGAAATAGCGAGAAAGAGGTTTCGCTTGTACCGGGGGGCGGGGGGAAAGTTTTCTCCTTCTCTTCATTATCCTCAGCTCAGGATACGGATCTGCAAAGATAGGGTTCAGTACTAATGCCGATGGAAATCTCCCTGAGCACGTGCAGAGTGCTTTCCCCCTCGCTGCTGCGGAACCACGGCCAGTCTACTCCCCACACTTAAACGTAGCAGATCAGAAAGATGGGCTAGCCGCTAAGGCTTTGGCCCCTGCATCTCTCTGGCCACTGCCCCCTATATCCATCTATAGGGGGTAGTGCTCTGGCTCCCTCTGGGGGACTGAACTGTGCTAGCTGGCCATAACTTCACCTCTTTGCAATCCCCCCCCCCCTTCTGCCGTGTACCGACATTGCGTCCCTAAAACACAGAGCAGAAGAGAGAGTCTCCCTCCCTTTAGGCTACCTGCTTTGCGTTTAACCAGCATTGTGCTGGCAGAGGGGAAATTGCAGGAGGGCAATGCGGATTGCCTGTCTGGGGAGTAGGTATTGGTTATGATGGAACCTCCATGTCCAGAGGCAGTGTACCCCAGGATGCCAGTTTCTGGTGCCCGGGGGATAGCAGGGAGACACTTTGGCATTTGTGGCCATGCTCTGTGGGCTTTTTTGAGGGCACCTGGTTGCCCACCTGATGAAACATAATATCTGGCCTACTGGGCTCATCTAAAAAGGCGAGTGGCAAAGCAGGAGCCCAGATTCAGGAGGGAGAGAGAAAAGCAAGGAGAGGATCTGAAATTCGTGGCTACAGGGAGGGTGTGATGTGGTGTAATGGACACAGCAAGTCTGCCTGGCAGATTCTGTCCCACCCTTTCTGTGATTCTAGATGCAAAATGTTTGGCCAGGGTCTGCTTTTGAAAAGGTATGCATTTTAAAACCAACAGTGTAAAATGATGCTGTAATGTATTCATATGCTGACATGAGTACATGCGGATGTATGGTGAAACATCCCATAGGGAAGCTATGTCAAGCTTAGTCTCCGACAGGGATTCAAGTCCGAGACTAACAGACCAATCACGTTCAAGCTAGCTGTAAGCGCGAACGTTGGTGATTGGACCTTATGCGTTCAACCTGATAGGTTGTTAAATGTAAAGTAGGAGTGGCTATGTTAGCCGGGAATGTTTAAATACCGAGCAGTTTCAATGAACAAACTGTTCGGGCTATCAGAAGTTGTACCGTGTTGGTGTAGTGATCGTAGAGCTGAATAAACCTGAGTTTTCGCTGAAATCACTCTCCGACTCATTGTTAAGCGCCGGACTTAACAGATGCATTCTGGTCCTGCGAAAACAAATCTGAAGGTTGCAGGGAGAAGGGAACCCCATGCAGTGTTCCCTCTAAGCTGAGTTAGAGTGAGCTAGCTCACAGTTTTTAATCCTCCAGCTCACACATTTTTGTCTCCGCTCAGGAAGGAGGGGCTCCAGAGCAAACTAATTAATGCAGGAGCCAAACGGCTTGCTCACAACTTTAATGCCAGTAGCTCACAAAGTAGAATTTTTGCTCACGAGACTCCACAGCTTAGAGGGAACATTGACCCCATGTGTGGATGGATGAAGAAAGGTTAAAACGTTTGGGGCTCTTTAGCTTGGAGAAACGATGTCTGAGTGGTGATAAGATCGAGGTTTATAAGATTATCCTGTTTAAATTTGAGCACTTTAATATTTGTTGGTTTTTACTGTTTTTATCTTGTCTTTATGCATGGGCATATCTTGCCCTCTTTTAAGCCACCCTGAGCCCGTTTGCGGGGAGGGCGGGGTATAAATAGAAAAATAAAATAAATAAATAAAGATTATGCATGGGATAGAGCAGGTTGAGAAATACTTTTCTCCAGGGGTGATTTCGTAGAAGAGGAGGTGCAGGAGCTCATTAGCATAACTCATTTGCATATGCCACACCCCCTGACATCACCGGAAGTGTGTCAGAAGGCAACACCCACCGCTCAGGCTCCACTGGACTGTTTTGAATTGCTAGCTATGGGGGGAGGGGAACGTGCAGATCTGCCCTCACAGAGGAGGGAGAGCTTGTACCTGAAGGTGGGCCAGGTGGGGCTCTGCAACTTACCTGACTGCTTCTTGCTTCTCGTGGCCTGACTGAGGGCTGCTGGGAGCAGGGGCGGGGCTTGTTGCATGTGCCCGCCCCCTGGGCTCCTTACTCCCGGAGCTCCGTTCCTGTGTGCTCCAACAGGAAATCACCCCTGCTTTTCTCCCTTTCTCACAATACAAGAACTCGTGGGCACTCAATGAAATTGCTGAGCAGTCGGGTTAGAACAGATAAAAGGAAGTATTTCTTCACCCAAAGAGTGATTAATACATGGAATTCACTGCCACAGGAAGTGGTGGCGGCTACAAGCATGGACGGCTTCAAGAGGGAATTAGATAAACATATGTAGCAGAGGTCCATCAGTGGCTATCAGCCACAAGATATAGATAGGAACTCTCGATCTGGGGCAAGTGATGCTCTGTATTCTTGGTGCTTGGGGGGGGGGGCAACAGTGGGATGGCTTCTAGTGTCCTCCTGGCCCCACTGGTGGACCTCCTGATGGCCCTTGGTATTTTTGGCCACTGTGTGACAGAGTGTTGGACTGGATGGGCCATTGGCCTGATCCAACATTGGCTTCTCTTATGTTCTTATGACCTC